AATCTGCACCCCTCCTGTCAGATGAGCATTGATCCGCCCCTGCTGAAGGAATATCTTCCTTCGAAAATTTTTTGCAGTCCTGAATGCATAAGACTGCATTTCCTGCGTTTTTAAAGAGTATTTTTGCATAAATACAGCTAAATTGACTGCATTTTCAAAAATTATTTCAATATTCTCAAATATTAGATAAAAACTAAAAATTCCTTAAAAATTCCTTCAGTAAAATTCTATTTCCTTAAAAGTCTCCTTAAAAACTGATAATCTCCTCAGTTTAAGGAAATTTCGTTAAAACTGAGAGCCCTGCCAAACAATGAGACGTTGACGATCACGCGTGCGTAATCTCAACGGAATTTCTTTCAAGAACCTTCGAAAACACCAAAACCACGATACTTCGATACATTTCCCGTCCAGTAATAATACAGAATCCACACGCAAACTTTAGAACAATATAGCTTGTGTTCTTACCTACGACTTTCCAGTAAATTTTATTATAAAATAACATGTATATAACGCGTATTCTGATTGGTCGAAAGCCGTGTTTGGATCAGGCCATCCAAACACGGAAGACTACCGTGTTGTTGTTATTTTATAAAACAATTACTTTATGGTTTCCGTGTTTGGATGGACTGATCCAAACACTTGGGAATGTTGCTCGAGTTAAGAAAAGCGGGCAAAATCACTCGCCTTCGGCTCGTGATTTCGCTCGCTTTTCTTAACTCTCGCAACATTCCCGCGTGTTTGGATCAGGCCATCCAAACACGGAAACCATAAAGTAATTGTATAATCCATGGTTTTAAACTGTCAAAATGCAAGGATTTTACGGAGCTCCGAGCATGCGTGTGCACGCGCACGCGCGTATTGCGTAACATGCACTTCTACCATAGGCATAGATTATGTAAGAACAGATGTGTAACTTCAATAAAAAAGTTGTCCCACGATCGCCATCTTCCTAGCAAGTGTCGCTCGCGTGATAATTCGTCATTTGCATGCATTACGCCATTGCTTTCAAAAAAGCTTTCAACACCTTTTCTACAACTTTAATTGCTTTCATCAACTTTAAACATTCAACAAATAATGCTTTTAATTGTTCAATCCATAAATATCGATCCAAAAAAGCCGCAATAAAATGCAAAAGCTTATGTTTTTCAGGATGCCATTTTGCTAGCAAGTGTTATGGCGTGAGCATGACGTGTACATCTAGGGAAATTTGAGGACACGAAGTCATATTAAGTTACACATCTGGTATATACTTCATCTGTGCTTCTACGAACAACAAGACATAAAACAAGAACGACATTTAGGGCAAAATGTTTTCCAAGTCCTTGGCCTATTAACATCAAAACATGTATTAACTTTTTGAGTGTAGTGATTATAGAGTTTACGTTTCAGTGACTGAATAGAGTTGAGAGGATTCTATTTCTCCTGGCAGGCTGTTCCTTAGTGGCACTATCCTATTAAAAAAGGTTTCGGAAAGAAGATGTTCTGCAACGGTTTGGTCGGTATGAATCAGTGAAGCTAAAGCGAGTGTGATGATTATTAGAATTGTTTAGTATATTATAGTCTTCAAGTGTTTCATAATAACCAGTTTTATATTTATAAAAAAACGCAATATCTTTTATTTCGAACCATGAAATAGGCAGTAGATTAATTTAAGTTTCTTTAAACGGTTGGTGTAAGATGAGGTGAAGTCTTGAATGATATACTTGGTCGCTTGTCTTTGGACACTTTCGATCTAGACAAAAAAGGTCCCTATAGATGTTGTTTGGGGTGCCAAAATTTCACTGCCATAACACAGGTATGTACGAATGTAATGCAAGATTTCCCCAAACGAAAGTCGCGTTGTTGGTCATGACTCATGAACAAGAGGTTTGACAATATATAAGACTCGGTTATGGACCACAACCTCAAAAGCTTTAGACACGAGAGATAATGAAAATGGACGGTAATTACTAGCCTGCGAACAGGCTCTTTGAATTGAATTAGAGCCTGCCGGTTTAGGCAGGCGCTAAACGACGCGTTTGTGTCGAATTTAATTCAGACGAATTTAATTCATCAATTAAATTCGACACAAGTGCGACGTATAACTCTATTAAATTCGACAGGTCGAATTAAATTCGTCTCACTCGCATTATCCGTCTGGCTCAGACGGATAATGCGACAGAAATGCGTCTCCAAGTTAAACGACGAATAATAGACGAATTTAATTGAGACAAATTTAATGCATAATTATTATAAATTATGTTAACGTTAACTCAGCCAATAAGAATGTCTGATATATACTAATCGCGCGAAATAAATATTTTAAGGCGCGAAATTTTGTTTATGTTTCTCTAGTTACTTTGAACGTTAACTTAAACCTACTACAAGAGTAGTTTTGCCAGACATTTTCCCACCATCCAGGGTTTCTTGTCAGACGACGACAACTTCGAATTCTAGATCTAGGCGTTCTAGCCAGTTCGGCAACTATGGCGTCAGATTACCGCCAATATTCATGTTGATATTAATTCAACATGTTTCCGTATTGAAGTGAATTTCGACATTGAACATATCAAATTCAGCATGCCACTTTAATTCAACATTGCTTCAATTTCAACATGTTTCCCTCATTGATGTTAATTTGAATATTGAACGTGCCAAATTTAAGTGAAATACAACATTGAAGTATAGATATTGAAGTAATTTTCAATGTTGAAGTTTCAAAACATGTTGAAAACGCATCACTACATGAATTTGAGAAGTGAATATTGGCGGTTATATAGCACCGCGTTAAATATCCGCCAATATTAATTAGCACTTCGTTAAACTTCCCCCCTGGCATATTCCTATATGGCGGCTACGAACGAGCGGAATCAGTGATGAAAATCATGGTGCACTGAACATTATTGAGGATATAATATCACGATTAGACAGCTAGCCTTGGTGACCCAGATTGTGTAGAGGGATTGGCAATACAATTTGACGTTTTAAAGAGATATCTTGTAAATATTAGAATCGACGACATATGCATGCACTTTGGAATTGCTGTATAGGGTTTGCAAAAATTTAAACCAATTTGAGCAGCGACAGCGCTATTCCGCCATGACTAACTCTGCATTTCCAGCACAAGTTTATGCGTGGAAAACCTTCGTAGGTCCTTCGTATGATACACACGAGGGGCAATTGAACTTTTATAGCGATGTAAGCAGTATGATGGGTGTACACAAAGTAACTTTGGAGCGGCGAATGAGGTCATTTGGCACGAGTGTGTCAGGTAAGAAAGTTATAGCTTATACACATCCTATACACGGCCAACACAGTGGCAGTTATGCAGCGCTGTATATGTTAAACCCAAGTCGACAAACCTAGGGAAACTGATGTAAATGTAATGCATACATGTACATGAAACCACAACTTCCTTGTGTGGGGATTGGTGTTATAGTGAAAAAATCTAGACACTGACCTCTGAATTCGCGAAGACTGATCAGGTCATTTGCGGTTTGCCGACCTTAAACGAAAACAGGACTGGAAAGTTCAGTTTTCAATAAAATTCAAGTTTTCATGAATTAATCCAAAATGCCAAGTTCCTGGAGTGGACTGACTGCCACCAACCGCTCTGCTGCCATTGACATGGGCTTTTTATGTCTGCTCAGCATATTGCATTACTAAAGGTACGTTTACACGCTGCGATTTGTCGGGCCGATTTTGCTCGCTGTATGTGAATAACCTGTCGTGAGTACTCGCGTCAGCACCTTGCGATTCACAAAATCGGGAGAAAAATCTGTAACAAAGCACAGATTTTTCTCACGATTCAACGATTTTTCTTCCGTTGTAAAGTTGTTGAAAACTTTTCGCACGCAGAAAACTATAATATGAACAGACGAGAGAGCGGACAGCTTCAATTGAACGTTTAAATCGCTAAATGTCGAAGAAGGGGCATCGATTATTTACCAAAATCGGCCCGACAAATCGCAGCGTGTAAACGTAGCTTAAGCTAACCTTTTTCTTCAAACGGTAAAAAATGAAGTGCAGATGAAAGATGTAAATACCTAGGTATTCTCATTCTATGCTGTAGTTCTGTATAAAACTTAATGTGCAGTCAATCATATTAAATCCTAATGATAAGACGCTATATATCAGTGTGGATTATAACGATTTCGCTTTGTTTGGACAAATGTCCGATCAACTGGTCAGTTGGTCGGACATTTGCCAAGAATGGTCGGCCAACTTTCTTAATATTTTTTTACACGATACTGCATGAGATAACTTTGGAAACATTTATATCGATGAAAGTTAATACAAAACACGAAATAACAAACGTCATCCATCTCTATTTACATGGAAATGTCCTATATAGAAACCTACAAAGTTAGAACAAATGAACGCTGCCACACACGGACACACCACACTCGATTCGAGGACGCGCGCCGGCGCGAGTTTTAAATCTTAATATATATAATAAAACTGTTAATTTGTTATATTAGAACATTTCGCTACAAAACATGGTAGAAAATTTAAATCAGGTGCAGAGTTCCTCGCCTATCGGTGACGGTATAGGCTTTAAAGCCTAGATCGTCTATACGAGCAAATTTTCTTTGCCAAGTTTTACTTTAACAAGTTTTATTTGCCGGTGTGTGATGGAGAAATATGGCAACAAATAAACTTGTCAAAGAAAAACGTACTTGCAACATTTCTCCATACACACAGGCAAATAAAACTTGTCACAGCTTGACAGCTACCTTAGCAAAGAAAATTTGCTTGTGTACAGTAAAAGAGGCCTAAGTGTATGCATAAGCAAAATGGCCAATCTTAACTCGTTATATAGGAGATAGAACATAACGGCTGGAATATAAACGTCTTTGTGTAAAGTACTGTGCATAAACACAACAGGTTCTACTTTAAAGAATTTAATGTTCGATTATATCGTTTGAATTCATTCGTCTGACTCATCACTGTTGCCAAACCAAGTATCCCAGTCACTTAGTGAAAAAGATAGTTCACTTTCCGATTCTTCTTCATCCGTTCTGGTTCTTCGGGAAGCGTACGGCCTCCGAGCACTTTGATTGGGTCTTCGTAATCGAATTTTAGTAATGGAATCTTTGTTATATTTGATCGGTCAAAATGTCCGACCAAAATAAAGTTGATCGGCCATTTGTTGTTTTTGTTCAGCAAATTGGCGATTGCCAATCGTTATAATCCACACTGCTATATATACAGTACGTGTTGCATATATAATCACTGTGTCGGCCGTGTAGGATGTGCATAACTTTCTTACCTGACACACTCGTGCCAAATGACCTCATTCGCCGCTCCAAAGTTAGGCTACTTTGCGTACACCCATCATACTGCTTACTTCGCTATAAAAAATTCAATTGCGCCTCGTGTATATCATACGAAGGACCTACGAAGGTTTTCCACGCATAAACTTGTGCTGGAAATGCAGAGTTAGTCATGGCGGAATAGCGCTGTCGCTGCTCAAATTGGTTTAAATTTTTGCAAACCCTATACAGCAATTCCAAAGTGCATGCAGATGTCGTCGATTCTAATATTTGCAAGATATCTCTTTAAAACGTCAAATTGTATTGCCAATCCCTCTACACAATCTGGGTCACCAAGGCTAGCTGTCTAATCGTGATATTATATCCTCAATAATGTTCAGTGCACCATGATTTTCATCACTGATTCCGCTCGTTCGTAGCCGCCATATAGGAATATGCCAGGGGGGAAGTTTAACGAAGTGCTAATTAATATTGGCGGATATTTAACGCGGTGCTATATAACCGCCAATATTCACTTCTCAAATTCATGTAGTGATGCGTTTTCAACATGTTTTGAAACTTCAACATTGAAAATTACTTCAATATCTATACTTCAATGTTGTATTTCACTTAAATTTGGCACGTTCAATATTCAAATTAACATCAATGAGGGAAACATGTTGAAATTGAAGCAATGTTGAATTAAAGTGGCATGCTGAATTTGATATGTTCAATGTCGAAATTCACTTCAATACGGAAACATGTTGAATTAATATCAACATGAATATTGGCGGTAATCTGACGCCATAGGCAACGGCTCCTTGTCAGAAGTAGTAAAGACAGATAGCAAATATTTATGATTAATGCCCTTTTCTTAAGGTACAGAAGCAATAAATTCCACCTTAAATGCCTTCTTTTTCGTTTCATAAGCATTCTTTTGTAACATATGATAAGGACAGCAGTACGATTGATAGGCGCCATGTTTATAGTTTCCAGGCTCTTGGCAGCGCGAGCAGCATTTTTTGGGACGTAAATTCGACGTATAACTCGGCGACGAATTTGTGTCGAATTTCAGACGAAGTTAATTGCAATTAAATTCGTCTAAATTAAATTCGACACGAACGCGTCGTTTAGCGCATGCCTTAAGCCCAGATCACACTACACAACGATAACGATACGATAACTTGTATACGCGCGCTGATTGGTCAAAAATTTATCGTTATCGTCCGGCTGAAAAAAAAATCGCTCAGGTGAGCGATTTTAAAATCGTTATCGTTATCGTCTAACGATAATTTTACCATTTTCGTTGTCGTGTGTCGGACACTAATACAATTTTTTGACAATTATCGCGTGTTTACAATTTATCGTATCGTTATCGTTGTGTAGTGTGACTGGGCCTTTAGTCAATAAAAATACGTCTGTGCCCATCACTATTTATAGTGTTGTCAATCAAATGTAAAATACAATTAATAAATTAATACAGACACGCCTTATGTAATAGCCTGCGAATATATGTAAACAAAACGCAAATCTCGATTTCAACGCATGATTGTTTACAACAAGTCTGTAATGTCAAGTTGGAAAGAAACTCCAAAAACATTTACACGCAAAAAAACGCTGAACATGAGAACGAATTTTGCCGTTGTTGCAATGCTTCTTTAAAAGTAACATACGGAGTTACATGGAAGTCCGTTTCAATAGTGAACTTGCTCAAGCCAACAGTAGGGCAAGATAGTTTTGATGTTCTTTTGCAAAATATCGGGATTGTTTGTGAGAGAGGCCCAGAATGGTCTGAAAGATTATGCGGGACATGCATAAAAATAAAATGTGCATTGACGTGAGACTCGTCTATAACAAAAGCAACCAAACGATTACGCAAATGACAACTTGAATATTTTAAAGCGTCAACTGAACACTTGTCAAGAACGTTTTCGGCCGATCCAAATATCAAATGAAATTTCCCCGATTTTATATCCTCTATGTTCGGTTCGTCACTAACGGCGCAAACCGAGCTCATACCAAGGTCCTTAGGCTTAGCTTCTTCCATTTGGTCCTCTATATTAATACTAATTAGAGGACAAATGAATAAATGATGATGGCTATAGTGGGTTCCTTTCTTTTTCTATTCTCGACAAGGACAGAAAGTTGGAACTTGGAATATTAAGTTTTTGCTGTATATATATATATATATATATATATATATATATATATATATATATATATATATATATATATATATATATATATATATATATATATATATACATGTATAGCCTGTCGGTAATACTAGTGTCATTAGTGAGTTTGGCAACCAACAAAGGCGACGGGCCGACGGCAGAAAACAAAATTACTTATACTTTTGTATTTGAGCGAAAACTTTAAAAGCACTTGTCTTTCTTTCAAACAACCCTGAAATTCCCTGAGTAGCAATAGTAAGTGAATTCACATAAAGTCATAAACACCGCAACGACTTGAGTTTGAACAACTACGGCGTACTAGAATGCTCAAGAATGCAAATTATAGTCGCCTTTGTCCCAGAGTAAAGATGTTATTGTTGATATAAGAACGTTGCCGTTGTATTTGCCAAACTTTCTTATACAGCAAAAACATCGTTTCCGTCTAGAATATTGTTAAGAGCTTTTGACTGCACATCCTTTAACTTTAAACAAAAAATTTAGTTTTCTATACAACTCGTCTAATACATTTTTTATCGCTATAGAACGATATTTTTCGATTTCTGCACTTCGTGTTGACACCTTGAATCTATTGTTGTGTAAATGTTATTACCTTTTATGGCAGTTAATAACCAACTACTCAATTTCAACCAATGGGAACCGTGCGTCGTTCTAAGCAACGCACAGACGCGTTTTTATTAGCTAGGCCTGCAGGCCTAGCTAATATATAGCCTCTCAAATTTCAAAGAGAGTTCAAAGAGAGCCTGTTCGCAGGCTAGGTAATTATTGACAATATGAGTTTTGTCGTTTTTGGGAACGGGAACGATGTTTGCATACTTCCAATCTGCAGGAACCTTGCCGAGAGCAATTGATTTATTAAATAATGTAGTAAGAGATGAAGCAAGCACTTTCGAATTTTAATTTAATAATCGTGCCGATATCCCATCTGGACCCGTAGCATTCGATGTCGATAGATTATTTAGCAGACGACAAATTTCTTCGATCAACCGAAACATCAGAAAACTCAGTTGGAGTTACAGGAACAGTAGTGTTGGATGGAGGGAACCATGAGATTTTGGGACGAGGAAGAAACACAGAGGCAAATAATTTGTTTAAAGCATCCGCTTCATCACTTGATGATTTAAATGTCGAGTCAGCTAGGGTCATGGTATCAGGTAGTGTTGATTTATTTGATTTCGATTTGAAAAATTTCCAAAATTGTTTAGGATTAAATTTTATCATATTAACAAGGTCCTTTATATAATCCTTTTGATCATGCGTTTAGCTAACCGACGTAGTTCACGCAAATTTCCCATAGCAATGCCGAATTGGACCTTCTTGCTCGTTTTCTTAAAGATTCTTTCAGATGGAGTATGTGGATAATTTATCTTCTAAAATAAGGGGGGAGTGTACGTTCGTGAAGTTTGCCTGCTCGGAATATATGTATCAACAGCAGCAAGAAAAGTATCCTTCCATTTGGACCATGCGATGTCCATATCATTCTCACTGAGAACAATATCAGTCAAACGCGAGAGTTTCAAAGATTCACGGAGAGCTACAAAATCACCCTTGTTGTAGTTGTACATTTTTCTCTTCGCTGCGAATTTTGGTTTGTGATTGAGTAAGTCATCAAACATAATCGATTTGTGTTCAAATATGAGGGAAACGGCTTTAACATTTATCTTCAACATTGGAGGTTATATAATGAATAAACACACTATCTATCCATCTCTCCTTCCGTCCTTCTCTCCTTCTCTCTTTCTCTCCTTCTTTCTTTCTCTCCTTCTTTCTTTCTCTCATTCTTTCTTTCTCTCATTCTTTCTTTCTCTCCTCCATTCTTTCTCTCTTTTTTTCTCTCTTTCTTTCTCTTTCTTTTTCTCTTTCTTTCTTTCTTTCTCTCCTTTCTCTCCTTTCCTGCTTTCCCTCTTTCTCTTTTTCCCTCCTTCCCTCTTCCTTCCTTCCTTCCTTCCTTCCTTCCTTCCTTCCTTCCTTCCTTCCTTTATTCCTTCCTTCCTTCCTTCCTTCCTTCCTTTCTTCCTTCCTTCCTTCCTTCCTTCCTTCCTTCCTTGGAAGTCACTATCAGCGTTAGGTGTTCTATAACACACACCAATAAGAATTAATTCGTTTGGAAAGAGATTTAATAGATAACTTGCATGTTAGACAAATTTTTATCTAGGCAAAAAACCCTAAATTTCCGAAAAGAACTTATTAAAATTAGAAAATTTGGTTACGAAATGTTATAAAATTCGGAAAATATAGCCTTACGAAGTTTGCATATTTTGTAGATGCTTGTATTACGTGCGAAAATTGTTATCATTTTTGAGCCGAAATTAAAATGTTAACAATTCCCGCGCGTAATACAAATATATATTTGAAAACTTTGCAAGACTATATTTTCAAAACTTTACAACATTTCGCAACCACATTTTGCAATTTTACTAATTTCACTATGTTCCTTTTAGCCGTGGTGCTTGCTTCCCTTCTCTTTGCTTAGATTAAAATGTAGTCTAACATGCAAGTTGTCCATTACAACGCTTGCCAATTCCATGAATGCACAATTAAAAATGAAAGGCTGTGCATGTATTTTTAGAATCCTTCACCGCTAGCAACACACCACCTCCACGCTTGCCAGTTGAACGATTTCTACGAAACATTTGATACTCGTCTGGAATAACTTCGTAATCGGTTATGCATTTATTCAACCTGGTCACTGTTGGAGTTGAAGCAATAACATTGAATTACAGATGTGTTTATAGCGATGTAAGCGGAGAAATTCAGTCGTGCGAACTTCATGGGTTCGGCGACGCCAGCGAAAAAGCGAATTGCGCGGTGGTTTATTTTGTTTCTCGTACTTCAACTGCAGTTTATGTTCAGTTGTTAGCAGCCAAAACTAGGGTCGCTCCACTTAAGAGTCTTACCATACCGCGCTTACAGCTTATGTCTGCGCATATGTTAGCCAAGTTTGCCGGATTCAGATTCGCCTCACAAGTTAAGGGTCTGGAAACTAGGTATTTGCTAGACAGTATTACTCCATTGTACTGGATACAAATTCATGGATGGAAACAGTTCGTACGCCATAGAGTAAATCAAATTTTAGCATTGACGAACAAGGTGGATCGCCCGGGTTTGGAAAACCCTGAAGACTTGGGAAGTAGGGGGATATTGGCATCTAAATTACAGGAAAATCATTTCTGGTGGGCTGGCCCTGAATGGTTAAGTAGTGTAGATAAAGCATGGCCAAATTCTAAAATGGATTCGACAGAAAGAGTAGGGAAGAAGAGAAGAAAGCAACAGTGTTAGTCGCAAATGTAGACAGGCAGTTGTATTGAAAAAGTGATCTCTATTGAGAAGTTTAGTTCTGTAGAAAGATTGTTTCGAGTAACAGCCCGAGTTAGATATGTCCAATATTGATTTCAAGGTTAAAAGGAATGAGAGCGCCCCAACGTCAGGTAAATTAGAACGAGAGGAGCTACTCAGAGTAGGGGTTTCCACAAGTTGCTCGGCAACTTTTTGGCAACTTTTCATTTTATATATATAATTATAAGTAATTTTTGTTTTAAACGACAACTTTTGTAACTTCGAGCAACTTTTCATGAATTTGAGTCAAATTATTCATGAAAAGTTGCTCGAAGTTATAAAAGTTGCCGTTTAAAACAAAAGTTATAATTATTCATAAAATGAAAATTTGCCAAAAAGTTGCCGAGCAACTTGTGAGAACCCTTAACTCAGAGCAGAAAAGCTTTCGATAGAAGCTACGCAAATGCGATTGAAAAAGGAAGGAAATTACAAGCAATTAGAAAGCCAGTTGAAGTCAGTTGAAGAAAGTAGTAGAGGTATGCAAATCCGATCCGAATCCGATCGGATTCGTTTGGATTTCGGAACGAAATATACATTTCGGATCGGATCGGATTGATAAAGTTGTTTCGTAGTCCGATCGGATCGGACTTCGATATTCGAAATAAAATGAATTAATTATCCACGCATTATCGCAAGAATGAATTATCCACGTATTTATCAAAGCATTATCGCGGTTGTCGCTGCATTATTCGTTTGATACTTTAAATTGGACGTCTTGACATGTATTTCTTGGTTTAAATTTTATATTTATTTGGTTAATATTTCAACTTGAATGAGAATTTTTTTTATTAAAGGATTCTTCGGATCGGATCGGATCGAAATTCTTTATCAAAATTCGGATCGGATTAGAAAATTTCGGATCGGATATATTTTGAACATGTACATAAGCCAATTGTCGGATTATAAACGTCCAACTGATCCGATCCGATGCACACCTCTAGAAGGTAGAATTTTAAGATGTAGAGGAAGATTTGCACAGTCAGATCTAGATGTAGATACAAAATACCCAATCTTGTTGCCAAAGGAAGGTAAGTTACTGAATTGATAATTGTCCATTATCATAACAAGGTATATCATGCATATAGTGGGGTTAGAGCAACGTTATCAGAGGTAAAATCGCATTTCTGGATCCCAAAGGGTAGGCAAAGAGTTAAGGGTATATTAAACAAATGCACTGTTTGTAAGCAATTGGAACGAAAACACTACAATGCACCGAATGAACTGCTGATCTTCCCAGATTTGGGGTAAGGAGAACTGAACCATTCGCAAAACAGGCGTCGATTTTGCCGGTCCATTTTACGTTAAAACGTCACCACCGATAAAGTTTATATCTCGTTATTTTCGTGTTGTGTAAGTAGAGCATTACATTTAGATATGGTAAGAGATTTATCTACACAAGAGCCTTTATGATGTTTACGACGATCTTCGGCACGTAGGGGAACTACAGCACTTTACACATAGCTCGTCCATCCACGCTTACTTAAATTTATCAAAACCAGAATCTTTGAATTTTTAACAAAATATATTTTAACAATTTCAAATATATGCCCATATATGTACACGTCTAAAACTTGCATTAGTGCTACAAACAATATAATAAAACGTTCTATCATTTTTGTCCTTTTTGAATTCCATCTTCATAATATTTAGATTAACTTCTAACATTAACAATATTAAAGAAACAATAGATTTTGATCTTGAAAGCGTTCAACATATCGATTATTACAACACCTCGGAAAAAACTTGTGATATTTCAAAATAATCATAATGTCTTTCGGATTGTATTTCGTCTTGTAAAAAGGATATATAGTTGGAGAGGCGTCGGAATATCAGGAGTGCGAGGCGAATGAAGAATGGACGGACACAAAATTTTAATTTTGAAACGCTATAAATTTCGGTTGAAAGTTGTTAATACATCTTCGAAGATGGCAACGATTTTTTAGCAAACTTCCTGCCAACATTTTGGTTTACAAGATATCTTAAAGCTTGAGCAGCCCCCTGAAAATTCTAACATCTTTCATACTTTATTGTATATTATTATTCTTCAGGAAAAGAGGTCAATAAAATGGTAGAATGTTAAGCCCGCCGCACACGAGCGCACTTGTCGCGCGTACTTGTTATTCGTGACAAGTTGGATCGACAAAATTTCCACGTGTGCGGGCAATATTTACAGCATTTTCGTCATTCGTGACATGTAAACTAAATATCAAACATGTTTGATATTTTTCGTCATTCGTGAAAAAAAAATTCTCGTGTGTGGCGAGCAAACGACAAGCGCGCCTGAATAGGAAAATTTGCGCATGCGTGCAATTTGCATAATGAAAAACAAGACACGAGCTCGTGATTTTGATCCGCCATGTTGTTTTTAATTCTGCAAGTTGCACGCATGCGCAAATTTTCTTATTCAGGAGCGCTTGTCATTTGCTCGCCGACACGAGAATTTTTTTGTCACGAATGACGAAAAATATCAAACATGTTTGATATTTGGTTTACATGCCATGAATGACGAAAATGGCGTAAATGTTGCCCGCACAAGAGGAAATTTTGTCGATCCAACTTGTCACGAATAACAAGTACGCGCGACAAGTGCGCTCGTGTGCGGCGGGCTTTAAACGATATATTACTAGGAAATGTTTTTAAAATTTAAGTCTATGTCCAGGAAGAACAAGATTCAAGCTGTTCATAATGTTAATTGTCTACCTTTACCAACATTCCGACAACGTCCTTGTACTGCCTTGTGGACCATAACAATTCTTTTCGTAGATTTTTTGCAGAATCTTAATTTTAGTTTCTCTGATATCGGGTTTGCGTTGACAAATTTTTTTTTCAGGTGTACAAACAACACCGCAATTGAACTACACTTGTGTGTGCATAGTCATACATATGAATGATTCTTTTCATCTCAGCCGATCATCCAATATATTTTTAATAGCTCCCATAAGCTTTAGAAGAGTTAACTACGCCTACGGATTCCTAGACGGTTTTGTTACAAGGATGTCTTTCCAAACTTTCGAAGCACCCTGATATGGTAACGTTTGACACTGTGGGAACAAAAGTTGCATTTCCAGTATTTTAAACCAGCACAAATTATGTAGTTAGTGCCAATAATCACAAATGTTACACCGCTATAAACCTTTAACTGTTTCCATAATGTAAATATTTGCATTTGCTTGGTTGAACTTGTAAATCCTGAACCAACACCGATCATTGTGGTGTTTTTATTTCTCCAACAAATAAAGCAGTTATTAACTCACATTTAGTCTTTCAATACTGGAGCTTACATAATTTTGCCTTTGCAATTTTATACATACGTCTGTGCAATATAAATGTAATAACGATTTTGCAATTCCCAGTGAGCGAGAATGGCATCACACAAATATACTCAGTAGGAAATAGTCAGCTGAAGGTGTTTACATTAGCCATTAGTCCATTTTCCTCATTTTGTTCGCTCAGAGTACGTACAAGTGAATAACACGTACTGTTCCGCCGCCCAGGTTAAAGCAGGAGCAAAAGGTTGGCAGTTATTCATAGTATTATAATGGTTGCCTTCATCAGGGCTCCACTACCTCGCAAACTGGTGCTTGAATTTCGACGTCATTTTCCATATCGACAATTTACGAGCAGTATCAGAAGGTAGAAAGATATTATTTCGTGATTGCAAGTCCAAACGCATCCAGTCTTATTTCAAGATTGTGTTCCAGATAGTGATTAGGTGTTTTTGCCATATCGCTTGCTTCATGATTCTTGCAATCATCGATGTTCGTGCACGTTGCAGAATGTTGGTTATAGTTCAATTAGATTTTTTACAAATACAGAACTCAATATACTGGTCTGTGTCACATATATAAACCTACTTATTCTGTTACACGTTCAAATTTCATTTCATTTTTTGTTGAAAACGTTCTTCTCATATGCACATTATTAGCTTATGCCAAGATAGAGCGTTCTCAAATGTCGCCTTTGAGAACATATAACAAAGATATTTTTGAGAAAAAATCAATGAAAATACCTTTGTTAATCTACGAAATGTTGACTATACGACATTAGCCTGAAATTTCCGAGTACTGCACGCATGAATCAAATCTATAGACATTTTTACACCCAATTTTGAACGCTTACAAAACATTTGTTTTAGTTTATCGAGGAATTAGATCCAATACAAATCCTCATTCGTTCGCTTGATCCAAAAAGAAAATAATGAGTGTAAACATTTGCATTAAAAAAGACTTATTTAGTTTGAAACAAACTTGCATCAGCCCTGTTGCAATGTTGTTTTTACCAACAAGGTTTTAACAAAGGCAGCCAGCAAACACTCTGTTATATCACAAAACACTTTAAAATATTAATTCAATTTGTATTTTATAATCACTGATTAATCACTGGTTAATTTAGGCCGCTCTTTAGGTTGGGTTGCCAAATATTGGAGAGAGAGACAAATTTAAAATTCCCAACAAATGTAATCCAACATATGTGACCACACTTTCGTTGCTGTAAACCATACTATACTTTTTAGCTAACTTACATTTCATTCACTTCTGCCAAATTTACAACCTACAGTAGCAATGTTTTAGTTGTATAATTTTCTTAGATCTTTGTTACGCCATTATTCAGTTAAAACTCAAAGGTTTACAGAAATAAGTAGACGAGCAGCATTTCTTAAAAATTGTTCAAATTCACAATGACGAGAAAATGATATTTCGTCTGATCACTTCAAATCGGATCGCATTTGGCAATTTTTTAACGCAACGAAACAAGAAGGTTTCACATCACAGCCAAAAGACCGATATTCAAGCTTGAATAAAGTAAATCAGATTCCGTATAATCTTAATACATACCTAATGTGCAATAACATGTCAAATTTGGATTACCTTATATTTGGATATACACTGCGTTCACAGATACTTACTTTTCTCCCAACAACCAACAAAGAAGTAAGTCAAAGCTAAACTATATTTCCTCTACTACATTTCTAATGTAAATACTACAGCAACTAGATAAGCTGTCTATCGCATAATCAAATTTTGCACTTGGCAATGCACACATGACTCTGAACACCATCACATTCATAGTTACAACAATTTTTCCCACCATTTCTCTGAAAGTGTCAATTGCAGCAACTTGACAACTTTAGTATCATGACACTCCTCCTTCACTAACGGGAACACAATTCTAAGAATCTAAAGCTAACTACACACTTTTTACTGTTTTCCCCAAAACCAACAACTTTGGCAATTTCACGGTGTTCCTTTCGCCAAATCTTATTTTAACAAACATCAAGCACACAACCCATGTTGAAAAGTAATATTCTTTTTAAATACTATTTTTTACCAAAGCAACAATTACAGAAACGCGGAATGATTGCAATAAGAACGTTTCCACACATTAAGATCATCAACAACCGTTAAACCACTCCTATCAAACCAAACGTTATCTTGAAGAATGTCGATTATAATTTAAAAATATAATTCCATACATTGTCTAACCTCTTAAACGCTCGAAGCAATTTGAGGGGCAGAAAAAGGCTTTAAATAGAAGCATTCTCAACCAGTGGTCCATTCTACGACATGGTAATACTATTATAGCTTTTGCTTCCAATATAACTAAGGAATACGTCATTTTAAAGATATTAAAGCACTACGAAACCAGAAAACATCTCACGAGATTTTTCTCTGATTTGCTTAATCTCATTCTTACGGAAATTCGCGTCTTCTCCATAGATAGTAAATGGACCCCAAATCCTACTGGATCGGTAAGCTTCTATTTCGTGTTTCTGAAAGAGGTTCTGTGTTCTTCTTAAAGCTTCACAAACTCTTGTTTCTTCGCAGAGTTTGCCATAGAATTTTTCCATAAACTCTTTTGTGGCACTATCGTCAATCGGCCATAGTGTAGCAAGAACACAGCGCGCTCCGGCTGCAAGAAAAGCTCGAGTTATACCTATTACACCTTCTGAAGTACTTTTACCTTGGCCGGTATGGCAACAGCATAGAACTACCAAGCGGGCTTGCACAGAAATATTTAGAATATCTCGCTGTGTGAGAAGATACGACTCTGGCTTGGGAACAGCAAAACATGGTTGCGCCAGGGAAAAGTTTGGCGCAAGCATTATTTCACCTTGATTTGTTTCGCCGTGGGCAGCGATATGGATTATACTAGCTCCACGTAGATGTTGCAATACTACCTCTTTTGTTGCTTCGCGTCCTAAAAAAGGCCTAGCTTGGAAAAGCTTTGACAGACATATAACTTCTTCAGCGGCATTAGGCAAGTCAGAGGGTGTAACTTCTTTTCCGTTTAAACAAACTGTTCCAACAGTTGGATTACCAACAAACAACGCAAAACCAAAGTCTGAGTCACAGGATTGTTTCATGGCACACTTCAGCGTATGCAATGAAGGTGTAATTTGAACGCCGAAACTGTTGGATAAATAAGAGCTATTTTCATTAATTAATGCTGAAAAAGGTGTAAAAAACAATTGCCCGTCAGGGACGATAATCAGCTTATTGCCGCAAAGAAGATCTTTCACCGGATCAACTAAAAGTTTGAACAATCTTTCTAAAATTTCTTGATTACTTAAATGACTATAGCAAGTAATATTTTCAAACGCATTTTTAGAGAGTGCCTTTTTGTTTGACATTTCAAATGGAAACATCATTTGAATGTGAGTATCAACTATTGAATCGGAGTTGCAAAACGAAGAATTCCGAACAACACTAACTTTTTCCCTCCAAAGAAGTTCCATAATTAGAAACTGAAATGTTTTCAAACATGCATCCAATTTTCGAAAGAACACTTCATTATTTAAAACCCAAACATTGAGAAATGTTTTCAAATCAAAAGCGAATACTAATACTGACGTATCATTTTTTCCTAGATGGAAAATGTTTTTCATTTCTTCCGTTTCTCTTCGTTCTTCTCCGGCCTCGATTCTATTCCATATCACACGCGCATAATCCAACATGACCTTGTCCACCGAATTCTTATGTTTTTCAACGCAGCAATGGAGCTCCTTAGCCTTACCAAGGTCAACGACTAATAATGCGGATTCAACGCGTTCCAAAGAAAGGAAACAACTCATCAAACGTTTATGAGATACGAAATAGTTTATCATGAATGACAGCTTATTTTCATCCGGAACGAAGTCTAAAAAAATTTTATCGTACAAACTAATTGACTCCACCAAGAGTGGTGCTCCAACTTCATAGTCTCCAAGACATCGATACGCATTTCCTAAGTTGCTGAGATTAATTGCTCTTCCTAAACAATCGCCAATACCAGTGCTAATGTCTAATCCTGTTTTGTAATGGTCTATGGCTTTCTGATCTTCTCCTAAACAACGATAGGCATTGCCCAAATTGCCATTGTTTCTTGCCATTCCTGACCGATCGCCAATAGCAGTGCTTATTTCTAAACCTGTTTTGTAATGGTCAATGGCTTTCTGATATTCTCCTAAACGACAATATAGCATTGCCCAAATTGCCAATCTTAGTTGCTATTCCTAACCGATCGCCAATAACAGTGCTTATTTCTAAACCTGTTTTGAAATGGTCAATGGCTTTCCAATATTCTCCTAACCTAAAATAGGCATTGCCCAAATTGCCATACTTACGTGCTATTGCTGACCGATCGCCAATAGCAGTGTTTATTTCTAAACCTGTTTTGTAATGGTCAATGGCTATCTGATATTCCCCTAATATAACATAGGCATTGCCCAAATTGCCATTCTCATTTGCTATGCCTGACCGATCGCCGATAGCAGTGCTTATTTCTAAACCTGTTTTGTAATGATCAATGGCTTTCTGATATTCTCCTAAACTAAGATAGGTATTGCCCAAACTAATATTGTTCTTTGCTATTCCCGACTGATAGCCAATAGCAGTGTTTATTTCTAAACCTGTTTTGTAATGGTCAATGGCTTTCTGATATTCTCCTAAACTAAGATAGGCATTGCCCAAATTGCCATTGTTACTTGCTATTCCTGACCGATCGCCAATAGCAGTGCTCATTTCTAAACCTGTTTTGCAATGGTCAATGGCTTTCTGATATTCCCCTAAACTATGATAGGCATAGCCCAAATTGCCATTGTTACTTGCTATTCCTGACCGATCGCCAATAGCAGTGCTTATTTCTAAACCTGTTAAGTAATGGCCAATGGCTATCTGATATTCACCTAAACTAAGATAGGCTTTGCCCAAATTGCCATGCCTACTTGCAATTCCTGACCGATCGCCAATAGCCGTGCTTATTTCTAAACCTGTTTTGTAATGGACAATGGCTTTCTGACATTCCCCTAAACTAACATAGGCATTGCCCAAATTGCCATTCTCATTTGCTATTCCTGACCGATCGCCAATAGCAGTGCTTATTTCTAAACCTGTTTTGTAATGGCCAATAGCTTTTTGATATTCTCCTAAACATTCATAGGCCTTGCCCAAATTGCTATTCTTACTTGCAATTCCTGACCGATCGCCAATAGCAGTGCTTATTTCTAAACCTGTTTTGTAATGGTCAATGGCTTTCTGATATTCTCCTAAACAAAGATAGGCATTGCCCAAATTGCCATTGTTCCTTGCTATTCCTGACCGATCGCCAATAGCAGTGCTTATTTCTAAACCTACTTTGCAATGGTCAATGGCTTTCTGATATTCTCCTGAACTATGATAGGCATTGCCCAAATTGCCATTGCTAATTGCTATTCCTGACCGATCGCCAATAGCCGTTCTTATTTCTAAACTTGTTTTGTAATGGTCAATGGCTTTCTGATATTCGCCCAAATATTCATAGGCATTGCCCAAATTGCCATTGCTACTTGCAATTCCTGACCGATCGCGAATAGCCGTGCTTATTTCTAAACTTGTTTTGTAATGGTCAATGGCTTTCTGATATTCTCCTAAACTATGATAGGCACTGCCCAAATTGCCATTCTTACTTGCTATTCCTGACCGATCGCCAATAGCAGTGCTTATTTCTAAACCTGTTTTGTAATGATCAATGGCTTTCTGATATTCTCCTAAACTAAGATAGGCATTGCCCAAATTGCCATTGTGACTTGCTATTCCTGACCGATCGCCAATAACAGTGCTTATTTCTAAACCTGTTTTGTAATAGTCAATGGCTTTCTGATATTCTCCTAAACTAAGATGGGCATTGCCCAAATTTCCAATCTGACCTACTAATCCCGACCGATCGCCAAAAGCAGTGCTTAATTCTAAACCTGTTTTATTATGGTCGTAATCTGCTATGTTCTTTTCAGAAGTCATTGAATTACCTCATCTTTAACTTTTTTCTTGATCTATCTGAAACAAAGTTGTTTAAGAAGTGATTAGCTGGATAGATCACGACATCCATCAGTAGTGTATATATGTCGGGAATTGGACCACCGGGGATTTATACCCTCTTCCCTGTACACCAAGCCCGGGGAGAGATCCCTTCACCTGATTTGGGGATTATTCTTCCTCCCGCAAGAAATTTTTCTACCCGTTTCCTAAATTTCTTGCCACCCACTACGGTAAAAAGCACCACGGAATCGTCCCTGTACCTCACGTAGGGTTCGCGTGGACAGGTCAGAGGAAACTCCATTTGGCTTTGGTACAGAGATCAAAGGGGACCACCGCCTATTGAAAATTTTTCTTCTTTGGGTTTCTGTCCGAACTTTCAAATTTCTTCAGCAGGAACGACCGATATGAGAGTGAACAAGGACTTATAGATGGTATTCAAAACACTTTTTGTCATTTTGAGAATTTTGTTCCCGAAAATTTCCAAAAAATTTCCAAAAGGATCTAAACCTTATAGACAAGATGTTTACAATATGGGATGAAGGAGTTCGCCACAGGACCTAAACCTGTGCGCACCGTTCAAACTTCGTGGGTTTTTCATACTTTTTTCATAATTCCTTCGATTTTGAAGCAGTAGTGTATAGACGCACTTTTTGTTAATTCTGGATTTTATCCCAAAATCTTTTCCTCGCACGAGGAACCAAGGAAGAGAAAAAAATATTTAATGTTTATTTTTTCAATTATTAGATAGTAGTAATTTTAGGATAATGACGATAAGTAAAACTTCAACTGTTATCGGGAGGAGCAGGCACGACACCAGGATCGTTCACGTTAATGTTCGCCACACTTGGATTTTCATCATTTATTTGCTTTTCATATTTTTTTATTGTTGCGCTGACGTAACTGATTTGGGTGTGCGCGTTGATAGTGAGGTCACCACGTTCGATACCGATGCCTAAGATGAATATTTTTCTTTTCCGATGGTTTTTGTCGTACTTTGGTGCGTTGACGTCTTCGTGTTTTGTGGATAGATACCCCATTTTGGCTTTTTTTTTTTTCTTTCGGATTTGGTTTTGGTTTTGAGCAACACTCACCATTTTTCCCATATCTAGCTGTAGTTTTTTTTACGTTGGAGCTGTTGAACTCGACTTTTGTATCTACACCGAAGGTTAGATTGCCCATACCTACCTTTACACCGATGTTCACTTCCTCCTTTTTTTTCTGGTCCTTGCTAAATTTTTCCTTATTCATTGCTTCAATGTTTTTATTTATTTCCGGAAAATTAAAAAAGGAAGATTTTAATATGATTATTGTGGGTATGACGAACTGTGGAAAAACATATTATCTTATTCAGGAGTTGAAGACGACGTTTTTTCGTCAGTTTGAAAATATGTTTTTTAATTTGTCCGACTTATATTCGAAATGAGACTTATGACCAGAATTTCATTGACGAGGATATAATTTTTTTGTTATTCCATGTAAACAGGACGAGGTGGAGAAATGGTGCATATATTGTAGAATTTGCGGAGGGAAGAAGTCCCTGATTATTATCGATGATTGTGCTAGGACAAAGGACATGAAGAAACGGACTGGGGAGCTGATTACACTGAGGTACAGTTGATATATGTCAATAAATTCTCTCAAACCATGTTTAGCTGAGGCATGCCTATGTAGGCATATGATGAGGATTGAGTAGATGCCAATTAAGCTACATTATTCTATACAAGGTTCACTGTTTAAATTAATACAATCTGTCATATACACAGCTATACCATTTGGCATTACAACTGTGTCAAATGTTATCGTAATAATGCAAATATTATCGCGGCAAATTCAAATATGTTTAAGCCAGGTAACATGCTAAAAATTCAGGAATTATGATGGTAAATATTTCGTTTCAAAATTGCTCTATTGTATAGAAAACATAACAATATTCTTACCTGTATGTTGCTCAGTCATTCCTGGTATTCCATCTTCGTTAAAATACGTTATTTTCATTTAAAATATTCATCTTTCACGCTGATAAATTAACTCAAATGAAAATTTCAAAAATATGGCGGTCTGATTGAATGACGCTATCCCAGAAAGCTTTGCGCACGTTGTAGGAAAATTAGGCACCAGGCTGTCAAACCGCGCTCATCGTGGGAATTTAATTAATTCGTGTGCCAAATTATAAACGTAAGTAGGTCAAAATAGGTGGGAATTACTTTAAAAAGAAGGCATATGCAATATTTTAGTTGAAAATAAAATAATTATGTAAAAGTAATGAGGAATTTTAACATAATAGGAAATGTTTTTTTGTCGACCCCTCTCCCCCCTGATGGAATGCTTCTCCCCCCCTGATGGAATGTTTTCAAACGAGGAGGCCAGGTTGCTGAGCCGCTTCTCGTGGCGACGATCATGGGGCTAGCGCCTCTTTCGAAAACGAAAATTTGGACTTTTGACAAACAAAGTTCGTCGTGTGTCGCGGGAATTGCCGCAATGGTGAAGAAACCAAGTTCTTTCGAAAGAGGAACGTTCGTGCTATTAGACGATGTGAAATTTATTGCTCTGCGACGATTCTGAGGCGAGATATTGGACTCGATGTCGGAGAGTATATCAGATAAGCGGCTAGCCTTGTAGTTATTTATGTCCTATACGGCCATGTCGTCCAGTGCCATAGTACTGACGACCGTTCAAGTACGACGAAAACGTACAGCAATCGCATCAACTAGACTCAGAAACACAACAAATGGATTCTATTAACAAGTGAGATATATTGTCTACATATATTGTTAATATTTTTTGAGTTATTTTGTTATTTTAAAATATTATAACGGTTAAATATATATTCAAAATATATAGGACGTTCAGAGATTGGGCTGCCTGTGTATAAACTTGGGTAAATATAGTTTCCATGAACTCATGCAGAATTTAAAATTAACTCAAACTTTGAAATTTTGACAAGTTAAATAAATATAATATTTTGTCCAATTAATATTAATTAAATGTCAAAAAAACAAATTTAATTGCGACCTAAAAAAGTGGTTGTTTCAACCAATCAGTTTTTACAGCGGGGTAACTGGATTATGTATGATCCTCTATATAGGATATACTGGTGAAGTCAGCCTGACAACTTGTTCGTGCTACATAAATATTTCTGTGAAAACAATAAATTTCTAAAGAAAGAATAGCCGAATTCATATTAGGGACGCGAAACTCGTCTTAGACGGGAAACTCGTCTGCGAAAACCCGTCTGAGTACGAATTTAGGGACGGGTAAATTCGAATTTAAGACGAGTTTCCCGTCTAGACGAGATTCCCGTCTAACTTTCCCGTCTGTTTAGACGGGTAAGTTAGACGGAAAAGTTCAGACGGGAAACTCGTCTGCGCCCGGATTCATATTAGACGAGTTTCCGGTCTGAGACGAGTTTCCCGTCTAAGACGAGTTTTCCGTCTCTAATATGAATTCGGCTAATATATGATATTTATTTGAAATTTGCATGGCATGACCAAATTGTCGGGCTGGCTTGTCCACAGGGCCACAGGTACTACTTTGTAATTATGGACACTATAGTGTATTTTAAAAAACTATAACAAAACTATAGTTTTCATAGAACTATGGTGTATTGGTAAAAACTATAGTTTTCATAAAACTATATATAGTCCTTTAGTTATGAAAACTATAATAGTTTACTGGTACAGAACTATAGTTCTCATAGAAATATATTGTATATTGGTAAAACCATAGTTTTCATAAAATTATAGTTTTCATAAAACTATAGTGTATTAGTAAAGAACTATAGTTTTTATAAAAATATAGTGTATTGGTAAAGAACTATAGTTTTCATAGCTAGCTAGAACTATATTGTATTGGTATAAAAACCATAGTTTGCATGTCATAAAACTATTAATAGTGTATTGGTAAAGAACTATAGTTTTCATAAAACTATAGTGTATTCGTAATTAAAGAACTATAGTTTTCATTAAACTATAGTTCTTCAATACACTATAGTTTTATGAAAACTATAGTTCTTTAAAAGAACTATAGTTCTCATAAAACTATAGTGTATTAGTAAAGAACTATAATTTTCATAAAACTATAGTGTATTAATTGGTAAAGACTGACTATAGTTTTCATGAAACTATAGTGTATTCGTAAAGAACAATAGTTTTCATTAAACTATCAGTATGTTGGTAAAGAACTATAGTTTTCATAAAATTTTAGTGTATTGGTAAAGAACTATAGTTTTCTTAAAACTATAGTCCTTTAGTTATGAAACTAAAATATATGCTAGTGGTAAAAACTATAGTTGTCTAAACTCAACTATAGTTTTCAAAAAACTATAGTTCCCTTGGGTTATAAAACTATAGTTTATTGGAAAAAAACTATAGTTATTTTGAAGTTAACTATAGTTCTTTTTTGAAACTATAGTATTCTACCAAAAACTATAGTTTTTCACCAAAAACTATAGTTTTTCTCAAAAAAACTATAGTGTTTGGTGAAAAACTATAGTTTATTTTTGTAAGGGATTAAAGGCCATTGCCAAAGGTTATCGGGATAATATTTCTAAACCGACATCATTTTACAATTCGAGTGGACAGAACATGAAGATTCTTATGGAAGTTCATCTTTCCGATGTGGATAAGGAGGAAAAGATATTCATTAGGAAATTGCTGAAGAAAAACAAATACTTTGATATCGACGTGTATATGGTTCATCCCTTTAATCCCCGAGCCAACGGCGCGGAGTGCCGTTCCGGGCGTAAGCCCGGGGCGAGGGAACGAATTCCGCCCGGCTATTTACACCTGGGGAAAGGAATGCACTGGCGAAGTCTAAAGTTCATCAAATATCGCAGGCGCATGGTGTATGGGTGGTCATCTCACTGATCTTTGAGTATGGCTGCTCGGCAGGAGTGAAGGAGGCAAAAATATAAAAAAAATATGTAAGAAAGCTTGGGAAATCGTTCCACATAACAAATTGTAAATTTTTTTAAAACTTTTAAACGTAAACATCAAGAATTGATATAGTATGA